AGAGGGAGGGGGTAGAGTGGTCTTTAATGTGTGTGTGTGACAATGACATGTATAACCTTTCTCTTTTCTTCTCTGGGAGGCTGCCTGATAAGCAGCACTGATCCCAGTGCTTCTGTTCCACTCAGGTTTGAGTGTTTTTTGCCGTACTGAACATTCCTTCTTTTCTTTTTTTTTTTTTTTTTTTTTTTCCCCTTCCAAATTTTCCTTCCTTCCTTTGTGATCTGCACTTTAATGTAACCAAGTGAACTAGCTCATGTTTTCTCATTCCCAATTAGTTCCCCTCCTGACAGTAAGGAATGGGTCTGGAAGTCCCTGAGTCAAAAGCATGAACTACTTCTCAAAAACAGTGATTATTTTCTAATTCAAAACATGCAGTTATTTTTGCTCAAGTACAAAATGCTTAAGGTCTGGAAAGCGGCTGCTATAGAGGTTTCTGGAAGGAATTCCCCTCTTGGAAAGACATTCAAAATATTGTACGTGGGCAAAGAATTCATTAGGACTCAGGCTCCCTCTCATGTAAATATTGGCCGGTGCTAGAATTAGCACTCTGTGTCGGAAGGAACACGTTTCATTATGCTATGGTAACTTTGAGTTACTTGTGGCTGGCTCCTCTCGATTGAAGTCAGCACTGATTTAATAGGAAACCCACTGTGAGAGTAGGAAAATGCCATAGGACCCTATTGTACCATTATTTTGGGTTTCTCAATTATACCACTCAGTGACACAAAGCCACAGTTACCTGGCTGTGTCTCAAATGCCCTAAGTCCCATGCACCCAGCCCCACCACAAAACCTCAGATACGTGACTCTGACGGATGGTGTTAGAATGAGGGTGGAGTTCAGTTCAGTAACCTATTAAATGCATCTTAATGTTCTAACATGCTTTCTCTTCATATCTGGGACAACAAATGCTGCAGTAAAGTTTTATTTAAAGCAGGTCTGTTTTCCAAAATGGGTCTTACATATGGAACAAAACATTCATTGTCACTTTACTGTTTAAACCTTTATTATTGCTTTTTTTTTTCTGGGTACAATGGGCTTTTATGTACCAAACAGCTGTGTTCATCATGTTTATTTAGAAGGCATCCATTGTAGTGGAAAAAGTCTGGAGGACAAAAATCTTGGTGAAGTGCAAGACTACTCTGCGGGTGCTGGCTTATTTATTTATTTGTTTCTGTCCAGCTCTTTGGTCAGCATGCAGGTCACATACACAGGCACTGCCATGCAGACTTGCAAACCCAATATAACAGCAGCCCCTTACAAGTGCTGTTTCTCATCCTAAGCAATCTCCTCCAGAAATTTTCAATCGCAAGGCAGCATACAAGACGCCTAACTATTTTATATCCTATGATCCTACCATTTCTCGATCTGTTGCTATTTTGGCCACTCATTAGGTCACTTTCCAAATATTGTGTACAGCTATGTGTCAATCATTGTCACAGCCCAGCTCCTGGCTAAGCCAATCCAGGACAAAACTGGGAGGAAAAAAATGCCAGCCAAAGCAAGCACTGTGCAGAAAACAGTCAACGATTTAACTGTGGAAGGCTACGTGTCTTCCAAAGATAGCATAAGCCCACTTGATGCACAAGTAGCACACAGCACTGTTGCTCCCCAAAATAGTTCTACACACTCAAAATACTCAGTTTATGCCGACTGGCACCTGCAAATAAACAGATGTTAGAATTTCAAGAACTGAGAGATGACACTGTAGGAAACTCTTGGGTGGCTCCTGCCTAAAAGCAGCCTAACTTGGTTTCTGGAAAGAGCAAAACATCTAGCATATGGACAGAACTTTTCCTATTGAGTAAGATCATCCCTAACACTTTCTAAACCTGTCAATGGAAGCAGCTGTATAAGCAAGCAGCATTAGCTGGGGGAGCTGAAAGCATTCCCACTTCCTTCAGAGCACGCTCGGTGGGTGCTGCTGTGCCCTAGGAGGTGGCCATGCCCCTTGCCTCGTCCCCAAGCATGAGCTGCATTAATACACAGCTCAGGTCAAGCCTGGAACCAAAGACATGACCTGTGCAAGATCCCTTCCCTCAGAGGGTAATGAGTTGTGGCACAGTGTGGCCCAGGTGGCAGCTCCCTACAGCAGGGCCAATGGGTGGCACAGGTTTGGCTGCTGCCTGCAGGGTGACCTGGGTAAATCCTGAGGAGCCAGGGAGACAGTGCTCCAAAGGGGAGTGGTAAAGGGATGTGAGGGGAAAAATGGAGAGAGATGTGAACCAAGAGGAAAAATGGAGAGAGTTTGACAAAAGGATTAACTCCTATCTGTGAAAAGTGCAAGTAGAAACAAGAGAAAGAAGTCAGGAGAAACTTCAGGAAAAATTCTGGAAGCTGTTTTGGGGACTTTGTGCACGTGCCCTTCATCTGCTTTTGTGGGTGATTCTTTGTTTCGGGGTTGTTTTTTTCTGCCTTCTTTATCCCCAGAAGAAGGAGCCAGAATAAGCACAGCATACCCTGAGTGCACCAGCCCCAGGACTGGGCAGTGGACATACAGCTGAACCTGGCTCTTGTGACTACCTGGAGAGCACAAAGCTTTTGGTTCACATGGACTAGCAAAACCTATCTAGTAACAGGGGGCTGTGGTATGCTGCCTATTCCAGCAAAATCTATGTGCTGCAAAGGATGTGTGTTCCTACATCAAGTATTCTGTGTTATATGCTTGCTAAGGGTGCATCAGACTGACTGGATTGTGAATTATACGCTCTCAAAAATAGTTTGTTTCAGTTTCTCAATAGTTGTCTCAGACTGGATGTGTTTGCAAGATTCTTAAGCAAGAAATGATTTCTAATTAAGGATAAAAGAATGTGTACACAGCTTGAGCTCCTCACTCCTAACAGTTGTAATATGGTGACTGGTGGGGAATTTGAGTGGTTTTCATTGAACAACCCCATCATTGATGGATTAGAAATAGGTATTTTGACTGAGAACACTTCTGAAGCCTGTACTGGGAAGACTCAGAAACACCTCTCTCTGGGCAGCGCTCCGGAGGTTGGGCACAGCACTGCAAACCCTCACCCAGTGCAGCCACCACAGAACGCCCGAGGCAAGAGCCCTCCCCAAGGCACAGCTCTGCTGTTTGGAGGGTTTTAGCTGCCATGCACCAGTGGAGACCCCCATTACAGAAGTGCTTGACCCCAACAACTTCCTGTGGCAAGGCGCTCCACAGCGGATTGTCTCTGCCTGCCCCAGAGTTATTTAATTTCCTTCCCTTGGGTCCCTACAGCCCAGTCTTGCCCGACAAAACGCACGCTCAACTTTTTTGCTTTTGTCACGTCCCTTCTTACACTTTCTTAGCCTATAAAGATAGATACAAAAGTGATTGACTATTGCCAGAGAGAAGAAAGTGATTTAAATATCACTTTTAAATAGAGGGGGGCACGTCTCGCTGTTAGTAGGGACGAGCTGTTTTCCGTGCGCCCGTCCCTCCACCTCCTCCGCACTTCTGGCAGCGGGGCGGTCGGATCCCGGTAACCATTTACCACACTGTCAACACGGGTTAGCGGGACAGCAGCGTGGGGCAGCGTCCCCGCGTCCCCCGTGGGGCGGAAGGCGGCCGAGGGCTCGGCATCATGGCGGTTGGGGCACTCACCTCGCTGCGCTGGAGCTGGAAGAAGCTGTTGAGATAGCTGGAGCTGAGCGAGGAGCCCAGCTCCGGGGGACTCTTGGTGTAGCCGAGGTCGGGGTGCTGCGAGGAGGAGGGCTCGGGGCGGAAGGCATCGAAGGCGCTGGCCTGGTGCGTGTCTTGCAGCGAGAGATAGACCCAGTTGAGGAGCTGGGCGGGCTGGTACACGGACGCGGCGCTGGTGTCGATGGCTGACAACAAGCTCATCTTTCCCCCGAGCGGCGGCCGCCTCCGAGCTGCCGCTCCCGCTCCGGCCGCGTCCCCGTCCTCGCGCGGGCCGCCTCCTCCCGCCGCCCAGAGGACGGGCCGGGGGCTCGCCGCTCCCCGCTCGCTGCCCTACGGCCCGCGGAGCCCGCCCAGCCCCAGCGCTCCGCGCCGCACAGGCATCGCTGCCGCCGCCCGCGGGCCGCGCAGGAAACTTTCCGCGCTCTGCTCCGGGCCCCGCTATCTGTCTTTATTCCCACTCCCGCAGGCACTGCCGGGGAGGAGCCGCCGGCGCTCCCATACGCCTCCCGCCCGCCGCGGGGTGCGGGGCCGGGCGGGGCTCTGATCCGGCCGCCTCCGCGCCCGCCCCGGCCCGGTGTCCCCGCACGGGGCGCGCCGGCGGGCGGGCTCGCTCGGCCCGGGGCTTCCTTTTCCTCTTTCCTGCGATAGCTGCCTCGCACGCGGCCGGCCCGGGGCTGATCGCTGGGGCCGTTGCGGAGCGGGCGAGCCCCGCTCGGTGCTCCGGCGTCCCGCCCCCGCTCCTCGCTGGGATCCGCGGCGCGAGGTGCCCGCTCGTTCACCCCCTGCCAGAGGCGCAGTTTACAGAAGCTCCCTGGCTGCGAGCGGTGCCAGGCCCTGCTGATGGCCAGGGTTTCCCAAATAAGGCGGCGAGCGTGCCGTGTTCCGCTGGAACCCCGCTAGGCTGCTCTGGCCCCGGGCCGCGCCGAGGTAACGCCGCGGCCTTTTAAGGAGTCGGCAGCACGAGGGGGTGATGGACGATCGCGCTCTTTGGAAGGAGCCTCAGCGGTCTTGTTCCCAGCAGAACAAGAAGAAGACGAAGAGGAAAAAAAAATCCAACACTTTCATTTCTTAGATAAAACAAAAATCTGACCTTTGAAACTTCAAAGTTGGCATCCAGGTTTGCCATAATGAGTCACACGTCTCTGCTACACTGGAGGAAAAACCGCTGTACTGAATGCAGTAGGAAATGCAGGCTGGTGTGTGCACAGCAGGTAACTCATCAGCTGCAAACCTGACAGGTAGATGCACCTTTCTACTGAAAGCAGAAGTGCAGTCAGCTGCACAGCTGCCCACTTGCTGGAGTGTGAGAGAAGGTGGGGTTTGCAAAGCTGCAAAGCCAGGTCAGGTTTGAAATAACTAGATGCAACTTAGGAGATGCATTAAAGGAGATGCAACTCCTTTAATGGTGCTAATATGTATATTTATTTTAGAAGAGAAAGTTCTTGCAGTGTGGATCCAATCTACTCATTTATGAGCTCTTGGTTCACAGGCACCTCTGGGAGTTTCTGAATGTGTTTGTGTCAGTCCAAGAAGGAACAGGCTGTGCTGGGCAGTGCAGAGGGTCTCAGTTGTCTGTGGCACACATGGTGGGGTCACAGAGCCTGAATCAAACTGCACTCAAATTCAAACAATTGCTTAGGGTATTATTCAAACAAAAAAAGTTTGAACTAGGTTTAAGGACTTAATAAATTATGGATGAGGATTGAACTGTATTTGCTGGTAAATGGAAAAAGAATGAGAAATAAAGCTTGTGTTTGTGGAGCCCGCGTTTCTGGTAGGAGGTGATGGTCATGTCAGGGCAAGGCTCCGGGTTTGCAGTTGTGAACTTCTGTGGGCGTACTAATTCCTTCCTTAATGACACTCTGCATTTTTATCACTTCCTTCTTTTACCTGATAAATTAGTTCCACTGCTCACTCCCATAGTGTGTGGACAGTGATACAGTGAAGCTCAAGGTTGCTCTGAGCAAGCAGGAAACAGAATGTAGCAGGGTTCCTGTAGTGATGTGGAGTGGCGGAGGTGCTACAAAGTTTCACGAGTGCTTTGGGCATATTTGCAATTCCCCCCGGACAGCAGGCCAGCTGGATTCTGGCTATGTGGGGGGTTGAGCGTGTTGAGTAAGTGCTTTGTTCAGCCAAGCGTCAAGAAAGGGAAAGACTGCAAATGCCTCTGCTGCGAGTGGTTCAATCATGCAGTGCTCGAACTGAGGGATGTGGCTGCCATCCTGGCCTGCTGCTGTAGCCTCTTCTGGAACATAATTTCCATGGAATTCTTTCCCTCTGAATTGGAGATTGCTCGTAGCTCAGCAAAACGCCGCTGCCACATTTGCAGATGTCCAGTGATCATCAAGATGATGACTTTTTTTTTCTTGTAAGTCTCCTCCTTGTTCACCTTTAGAAGTCATAGATTGAAGAGAAGGGGATGAGCACAGTGGTCACTGCAGCAGACGTGTTGCAGTTGAGAAAAAAATGCTGTGAAGTTCAGTTTTGTCAGTTGTTCTCTGAAAGGTGTGGGGGGAAACTAACCCATGAGACAGCCCAATGGCTGCAAGATGCTTTCAGCTCAGTTCCTACTGATCATGGCAGGCTGGAATGTAAGCAACATCAGCTGCATGGACTGTGCATCAGCTGCATGGTGCTAAAGCAGTAGCTTGTTTATCCTCCTGGTCTTACTTGTGCGTGGTGTTAATGAAGTCAGAAAACAACCAGAACTGTAACATGAAACTTTAAATGGCTTGCATGGCTTATGTGACTTGGTAATAGTCTTGAAAGAGGTCAAAATCAAATGTACAGAGAGAATCCAGCCTGTTTATCCCAGTTCTGTTCCCCAAGCAGCAGGTCACTGTGCAGCTTATTAGTGTCATGTAGCTGCTCACCTCAGCAAGCTGGGCTTCTTGCAGCTGCTCTCTGCCTGAGGAATTTTTGCAAGAGGAAGAACAGAATTGTCAACTTCTGGCCAGGAATCACATCATTAATCCAAGCAGTCATGTTCCTGCTTTTAGTGTTCATACCTTTAGAAGGTGACAGCCATTAACTTACACTGTGCTTCATAAGTGTGTTTATGTTAGGATTTATTTGTTTGTTTAATGATATTCTGCTTTGTTGTTTTGTTTTGTTTTGTTTTGTTTTTCCAAAAAATGCATGCACCCTACTAGAAAATTTCCTAGGTTCTCATCCTTTTTAAAAACATCTTGGCCTGATTTGCTGTCATCTTAGTTTAGCTCCTAACTAGGTGGGGTTCCAAGGAGAAGATGGAAGTAATGTCTAAATGTGGCAATGAGAGTGGAGAGCTTTGAGCCTTTCACTGAACCCACGAACACACAGTGCAATGGGCCTCTTGGCTGTAGCACAGCAGGAATATTCTAAGTGAAGTTTTTTCTCTACCACAGAGATTCTTATGAAATAAATTAGCCATGCTATGGAAATAGTACATAAGCACCCTTCGGATTATGAGAAGGCATTTCAGTTTTACAGTTGTAATAACAGTACATCTTCATGTGATGTTGCTCAGATCTGGATGTCAGACACTTGTGCTTGCTATGTAGGTAGGGCGGTTCTGCTGCCAGAAATGAAGCACAGCATAAACCAAGCATTATAAAAGTTAGTCTAGAAAATGTAACCTAGACTTATGTACAGAAGTCAAAATGCACGTTTTCTTCCCCTAAGCAGACGAGATGTAAAAGTGCTCTTCCTTCTAGAGCTTTGACATAGAAAGTTCTGGAAATGAATGAATGTGAATTTAAAGCTTATCATCTGTAGCCTTTTAGTAAATATGTACCATATGCAATACTGACTTGCTGTGGGTAGTGTGCCAAGCACAGCTCCTAAGGCTGCCTAAAACCACAAAGTGGGTAATTGCTGTAACAGACCCTCACTGAGCACGTGGTTCTGCACCTGGCCAGCTTATGGTTTCAAGTCTTGGGGCCTCCCCACTTGCTCTAGGTTAGCATATCTATGCATTGCTGAATAATTGCATGAAAACTGTAGTTAATATGGGTAGTTGTATGAGGAATACTGCTTTCAGTGGTTTGGGGTTTTTTGAAGAAGGAGGTGTTTTTGTTTTGGTTTGGTTTTGCATTGTTCTACAAAGGTCTCTGCTGACTCTTCAGCTGCTGGACAGACTTCTGAAGTGTTCTGTTTATTTCACATCAAGAGACAGGAGGCCTTGTGTCTACTGCTGGTCTAAGAGTTTGGCATCCCTAACCAAAGCAGTAGCTGAGGCGTGGTATCCCTGTACTTAGCCCATCCTATCCCCTTGCTCTCACTTGCTCCGGGAATCCTATGGAGCCGGGAAAGGCAGCAGAGTAGAGGGGAGGGAGGGGACACAGGCGCAGCAGTATGCCCTGTGCCCTGCCCGAGGGACCTCAGTGGGTACTGGCATCCCCCAGCCAGGGAGCAACACATTATTCTGCCAGTGCATATAAATGGTTCTGAGTTTGCCCACTGTGGAAGAACAAGGCTAAAGAAAAGAGAGCAATGGCAGGAAGGAGAAGAAAACAGCTGAGATAAAGGCGAATGAAATCAGCACTAAATAATAAGAGAAGAGGGAGCAAGTGGGGCCTATGAACAGAGTGCTGTAATGGGATTGGAGCTGCAATTTGATTTTTGGTAGCAGACTGCAGTTGTGAAGTAATGCCTGCCTTAGGTCAGCTCGGCTCTGGGAGCAGTGTTTTGTCCATGGCCTATGAGCCTGGTGGCACCACAGTTGTCTCTCAAACTGTCCCTGCCTCCTGCTTTAATGCTGCACACTCACTGGTTTCTTCTCAGTGCCTTCTTTACATACTCAGCCCTATTGGAAATTTTGCTTTTTCTGTGTTATCCCAGATTTCCACCAGGTTGGGTAACAGAACAAGGGTTCAGTTTTTTCACTGGAGTGTGTGCATATCATTCACTGCAACTTCTGTGGCTGAGGTGATTCTAGTCTGGGCATTTCTGGTGTTTAGCCCTACCCCTGTTCCAGGAAAGTTTGTTTCCTGGTTACTTTGAGTTGACACAGTATTTATATCAGAATCGGAAAGTCTCCAAGGAGATTTCAGGCACTTCTTTACGTAAAACAAATGAACTGCAGACGTTTGAACACAAGAGATTTTGTTTTCATGTTCCAGAGTGTGGTTCTTTGTTTCAAGTAAGGTTTCTCTCTCTTTGCCTTAGTCAGCATACCTCACATACCTGTCAAATTTACTGAGATGTTCTAGAAAATGTCTTACCTACATCTCCTGGCTCTCAGTTGTCTGGTGCTGGCAATATCTGTATACAGCTTTGAGTAGGCAGAAGCTGCTACTCAACACCATCTCATCAAGGGCCCAAAGTCATCAGCTTTTACATCTGATGGCATATTGGGTCTTGAATTTGTTCTGCTATAGGGTTTCATGAGGGCAATTATGTTGCTGCAGGCAGAAATATGACTAAGCTGCTCTGGTGTAGAACTTTATGTCCATTTATCAGTTATATGTAAAAATAATTGTATTCTTCATTTCCTCTATGCCATCCTAGGTGAGAAAGATGAAGATATAGTAGAGATTACAGTAAAGAAGTATAGGTAATTAAGTTGTAAGGGAAAACATACCCCACTCTATTGATGTAAATTTGGAATATTTTGAGCAAAACTGTTCTTCTGGAAAGTTTTGGATTTGAATTCTGTTTCTGGTTTGTTATTATCATTGTTTCCTTGTGTATTTTTGTTTGTTTGTTTATTTTATTTTGCCTACTAACTTGAAATTTAATTTTTAATCCCTGAATGGATTTAAACTCCTCTGCAAAGCTTTACAATGCACCTGCTGAGATGAAGCTGGCACCAAGCCACACATACTGACCTGACCCTTTCCCATCCACATTTAGTCAGGTGAGTAACTTTCCCCACATAAAGGGTTGAACAAGCCTCCTAGTGTCTGTCTTACACTCAGCTGTTAATTTGAAGGTGTTAACATGCACCATCTGGTCCTGCAAGGATGGGATTAGTCAAGCATATCATTACCACTAATAACTTGTTGAATGAAAAGTAAAAATGAAAGCTGAGGAAATCTGCTAGGGTGTAACTGCTCCTAAATTAACTTTCCAGCATTTCTGTCTTATGGAATGTCCTATTTGCCAGGAAACGTGAAGAACCAATGAACAGATGACACACAAAAAAGTGTGGGTTTTTTTTTCCTGCTGTCACTGTGGACTGCTCCTTGTTCTCTGTCCCTTGTCTCTGCCAGCCCACAGGACAGAGCTGGCTGTGCAGCTGCAGAAGTCCTTTTCCAGCCAACATGCCCACATTGTGACCTTTGCCACAGAACCAAAGTCTCTGTGGAGAGAACAATCATCCTTGTTCATGCTTTTGGAGATGCTTCTGTCAAAACCGAATTGCTCAGGTAAGTAAGGATATTGAGAAATTGGGGGAATATTTTGTTATAATCCTAATACTCACCTTAAATACCGTGACAAAAGGTCTTGTGTGTTTTTACACTGAGATAATAGAAATGAGAGATTCCTGATTTTCAATCTTTTTGTGATGGCTTTCCTCTATACTAATTGTCTACTCTGTCCCAAGGGAAGACATCTTTCAGGAAGGTGGCATTAACTCACAAGCACCGATGACATACTGATAATGTTAAAGTGCTACAGGTTCCTGCCATTGCCAAATTCCAGCTTTCTTAATGGCACAGTTATATATTGCATGGGCAAAAAACGTTTTCCATCCTTCAGCCAAGATTTTAATAAAGAAATGCTTTTGACATCTATAGTCTGCTTTCAGGCAATCGCTGTTGTGTTTTGAATGAAGGAGAAGATGGTGAGTGAGATTTCAGTGGCTGTTAAATAGCCTGTGTTCATTCCTTCCCTTAAAAATAATATTAGAAATCAGTTTTTATATAGTGTTGAGAAGGAGGGAACTGTTGAGCACAGATTACTTCAAGTATGAAATGCCCATTCTGTTTTATGTAGTCGGGAAGTAGAGGTACGAGCTGTTGTCCCTCATTAACAAGAGCCAGAGGGGCTGCGGAGAAACTTAATGCTCTAGCTAATTTCTGGAGTAATATTCTACATGCTACTCATTTTCCATCCAGCATGAACATGTGCATTCTGACTCTATTTACATGAAAGCACAGCAAAGTGTGGATGACACACCTCCACACCGAGGCCCGGCGCAGGAAGGGGTCTTGCTTTTCAGCCAGATTCTTTCTAGGTCACCAGTGCTTTGAATGAAGATGTCAGAATCCTGCATCTGTTCTCCTATCTTGCCAGATGTCTGAAGGTGAGATAAGAGGCTTCATGCAGCGAAGGAAAAAAATTTATCTGTACTGTGGTTTTTTTGTGAGTCAGCTAAAAAAAAATAAATAAATCAGGCCTCCCTTGGAAAACTGAATGAAATGAAGAGGTTTCACTTGGCTGGGATTTACCTATATTTAGTAAAGAATTCAACAATACACTAGAAAGAATATCCTCTGTTTAACTTCTTTTAAACCTTTTCTTTTGCTGACCTGAAAATATGAGTGTGCTGCAAATATTGCCAAAATTATGATTGTCTTCAAAATCTTTTGAGAAGAACTGACAGTGGCAGCTAATATCTCCAGCAGAATGTTGTGGTTTGGCTTTGATTTGTGGTTAGCTGTGGCTAGAGTGGCAGCTGGAGGTACAATTTGCAGAAGTACTTCCAAAATCATGATTCATTTCCAGTTGTAGTTGGACAGATTGAACTGGGTTCAGGCTTGGTTTGATTCCCTCTTCTAAAATACCTGTATCTTGTACTGTTTCTGCATTTCAAAGGTTCTCTTGTTCTCTCCGCTGTCATAGTTACGCTATTGTAATTCTTTCATAAAGAATGGCTCTAGAAGGCCAATAAATAAATAATTCATATATTCAATACCCCCTAAATATCTGCTTTCTGGATAGCTTGAAGGCTGTATGTTAGCAGGAGGCTTGGGTTACTCTGGGACATTTTTTAACTGACAGTCACACTTTTAAAATGAATAATCGTGTTTGATCATAATAGCAGCCAGTCTGCAAGGACTCATAAATTCCACTGAGTTACCAGAGATATAGTTTAGTCTCCTTGGAATCCATAATGCATTTTTAATCGGACTATTATGGTCTATGGTACCTGCATATTCCATTGAAAGTTTGAAAAACTTTCTATTATAATTCAATAGAAACCTAAAGAGTCATATATCCTTCTTGGGTTTCTTGAGCTTATTTTCTTGGCTTGTGGTAACTCCCAGAGAATGGAGAAAGGGCTTTACTTTTTTGACCTGCTTCTTCAGTCATTTGCTTTTCCTCACTGAACTTTCCTTTAACAGTAATAAACTCTTTGTTCCCTCTCTTGCTCTGTAACAATTTGAATGCTTGTTGTTTTGAAAGCCTTTTGGGGGGAGTAACACTCCAACCAACACTGGGTGGGTTAACGCATAAGGTTATGTCTGCTCGAGAAAGTACTGTGAATATTTCTAAAGGAAGGTCAGTAGGTCTGATATCCACACTACTCATTTCAGGGATTTCTTTTCAATAGGATGAATCTAGTTTAGCTAGTTGGACTGAATGCCCTGTAGTAGTCAGAACACATTTCAGGGCATGAGAGATTAGGGCATGTTGTGTGTGCTCTGACATATGAACAAAAACAAGGGAGAACAGTCACAAGATTTACATGGAAATGTTAAAAAAACTGTGTAAAAAATGTTACAATCCAGCTGTTGTGTAGGTGCACTTACCTGGGAGCACTGCATGCCCTAAACTGTTTCTGTGGCTAGCTGTGTAGAGAAGATACAGTATATCTGTATTTCCTCTGAGATGGTCTTAGGACTGACAGCAAATTCCTCTCATTCCCCTCCCACCTATTCAGGATGGATTTCAGCAGTGTTCTCTTACAGCTTTTTTTTTTTTTTTTTTTTTTTTTTAACGCATTTTTGCCTGTGGAATTTGAAAGAAAGCTAAAAACCCAGCATTACTGTTAATAAGAGTTTCAAAATCACAAGCTGTCCCTCCTGTGCTTTTGCGGGACATGGAATATTGCATGAATCCTTGCTGCACTGGCATTCCAGCAGCTTTTCTGTGTACAGCTTGTCTTTGCTCATACTTCTCTGCTTCCTCCATTTTGTAGTTTATTTATCCCTTCTGCAAGGCCCAAAAGGATCTATGCTATGAATAATGGCCCAACTTGGTCCTGATAATCACTTATTTGCTTGGAATGAAATTAAAACTATTCATTATTTGACACAGGACACTGAACAGCCATCAGGTCAGGATGTTGTCAGTGATGTGGGGTAAGTTACACCTAACAAGGGCAGAAGAAAATGATCCTATATTATTCTCTTCAGGTTCTAAAAATAATGTTTTTCTTTAGCGACTCTCAGCTGAACAGTACTCCAGAATTACTAACTATTTTATCAATATATAAGGGTGAGCGCAGCCACCAGAGAAGTGTTATAAAACCAGCTGGGTAGGTACATAAGCTGAACAACTTGACCGTGGGTAACAGTGGCCCCATGGCAGGCAGAGCCAGCCAAGGCAGTGACCTAGAATTTTGTACTCGAGCTACTAAACCACATAGAAACAATTTGATGAGTGTCCTTTCACAATGGAGATGCTGGAAATACATTCTCTCCCTTGAAAAAAATGTTCTACGTTTGGGATGCAGAGTTCTACACTGCCTTTTCCACTGAAACAAGAACAGTATATATTAAAAAAATAAAATAAAATAAAATCTGAGAAAGCTGGCCAGTTCTGATTTTTATGTTTTTGTTCCATTGAGTTTTGACTAAAATCTGGACACATGAAGAATATTTCTCCTTCAGGTCACCGAACTGCGGATCTCTGAGCTGGTTCCTTCCCCTTTTTCTGGGCTGCTGAAGATGGTGGTGCTCCCTGGGCTGTAAGGATGACATCTTCTGAACCATTCCCTTTATCCTGTTTTGCAACACAAGTTTAAGGGGAACAGTTTCCTCTGTTTATTGCGATTGAAGAGTGGCTGTGTTTAGAATGAAGGGCAGCACTGGGGATGTGTGAAAGCCTTTATTTGTGTTCTTCTTTTCTTTTTGCACTCTTCAGGCAGTGTTGCCAAGTTGCACCTCTCTTAAGTGTGAGAAAGAACAGCACTGCAAAGCAGTGACTTTAAAGAGCCTGGCTGCATTTTGGCACCTGGTCACTGGAGATGGAATGTGTTTAAAACCTTAAGCTCCCTCCAGCTGTCTGTGGTATACTTGTGGAAAACAACAATAATGCTTTTCCTGTTCTTCCTAGAGCCAAATATGTCTGTTACAGTCAAGTAACAGAGCAGTGTAATCTAGTACTGATATCCCTTCAAGCTAAACAGGGCACCATGGGAAGGGAAAGGAAACCAAAATGTTGGGCTGTGGCTCAGCTTTGCTTGGCCACGCATGTGCTTGTGGCTTCCCAGCGCCTGCCCAGGCCCTGCTGCTCCAAGGATAAGACAGTGATTTACGACAAGCTTTGTACTTTAAACAATTTTTCATTTGAAGTTCTGCTCTTACTATCCAACTTATCCTCTTACAGCGATGAAGGTACAGGCTACACATGAGGGGAGTATTGTTATTTCTGCGGGATATTATTTAAAATAAATTTTTTTAAAAAGTAAAAAAAGAAAATCACCCTAGCTTGTGGTGAGAGCTCTGTTTGCAAACCATTTTCCTACATTTTACGTGGAATACCTCCAGCTCCCTCTTTTGCATTGGTTGTCTGTGACACGTTCCCAGAACTAATAAGCCCCTCTTTTTTCCAACAAGATGAAGGCTCCGGGCCTGCTATAATTGCTCCCAACATCCTGACTCTACCTGGAATGCTTCCATCTCCTGGAACAAGCCCAGTGTCTGCTCTGCAAACCACAGTGTCCATAGTTTTGGTTGTTAAAAATACTAAAGATATACTTTCTTAAATGTACCTGTATGAGAGTTCAAGTGTTGACAGTTCCTACTAGCATATGAAGCACATTTATTTGATTTTGACTTTACGCTTGATGCCCGTTAACATTTTAATTTAAAGATTTTATTTTACAAAGTTGATAAATCTTTTATTTAATGACCTTAATCCTTGTGTCCTTTGCATAACAACATTTTAGGTATTTATACTGCATTTCAGTACAAGACACCACAGAATGTACTTTTCATCTTAATTCCTCCTTGTTTCTCTACTTCTCTTTGGATGAGTGTTGCTTTGTGTATTTGCTTGCCCTGACAGATTTTGTGTAAGTATTTCCAGGTTTGTATTTTCAAGTGATTTTTTACTGTTTTTTTCCATTCTTTTTTCCTTTTTTTTTTTTTTTTTTTTTAATAATTATTATTATTATTATCTTTTTAGGACGATGGCAACTTTGAAATCCCAGGCAAAAAATGCTATGTGGCTGAGAGACTTGTATTAACTTTATAGGAGAGCAGAACTCCCAGCTCTTTCAACAAGCAGACGTGTGAGAAAAGTGGATGCGTATGTTACAGCAGGCATGAGATCTGCTGCCCACAGGACACTGAGTGGGGCTGAGGCAGGCTTGGTGTGGTCTTGTGATGCTGAGGGCAGCTGCTGGTTTCAGTGAATAAGGATGGCTCTGGGCACTTTGTCTGTTGATTTCTTTCTCGTGAAAGTAGCAGGCAGCTCTGAGAGCATGGTGTCTGGTTCCCACTAGTTGCAGTCTGGATGTGAACCAGTGACCCGGCTCACAAGTTCAGAGCTGTTAACCCCATGCAACTCCTTTTACATTTTAAAATGGTACAGACCAAAAGCAAACGAAGGACACAAAGCTGAGTAAGTCATCGCTTATATACTCTGCCACTAGAGCATTGGATTTGTTTACTTTTCGTATTTGCTCTTTTGCATTTAGCTGCTGCTGTGTTGCCATCAGCTTCTTGATCAGTGCAGGGACATCCTGGCCTGCCCAGCACAGCCACTGGGGTAGGAGGGTCTCAGACATGGTGTGAAGCTCTCTGCCAGGCTGGCCTTGCAGGGTGCGTGGTATTTTCCTGTCAGCTAGATGTAATTGTTTGCATGGAGACTTTGCTGAGAAGCCTTGGGAGGGGGAGAACAGAACTGAAATGCACTTTTCATCAACTCTGCACATTCATATACATCTGTGTACTCAGAAAAATACCCGAAGGTTTATGCTGCCAACAAAAACAGCTGTATATAATGAACAGCCAGTCCTTCCTGTATACTACTCCAATATATTGCTCCCATATGACCTACAGCATAAAAAATATTTGTAGAAAGGACTTGGCAAATGATTTTCAGAAGTTAATACATCTGAAAAAAGGTATGACAAAATTTAACAAAACAAAAATTGAAATAATCATTGGATTTTACTTGAGGAATTCTCTCCTTCAGAAGTTTAATTTCAGTACTGTTCTGTTTTCCAATCTTATATAAATGTATCAATAGTATAATTCATAAATGGAGATTTGATTATTCTGGTATTCATTTTTATCATCTGTGGAAGAGTGGATTTCATTTTTATGTTATTTCTACTGTAGAAGGAATGTATATGTATGTCTCTGGCTACATGCGTATGCTCACAGCTAGTTATTTTCCTTATTTACATTTATGAGAGAACTCTTCACAATGCCTTTTGAAAAACACTCAAATTCTATTGTTGCCTATTTTGTTAACTTATTTATGTATTGAAATAGTCAAAGGAGGGAGCAGATTTTCTTTAGAGAAACCATACTTCTTTAAACAGTTGGCACTTTCTATCTCAGTGTTGCACTGTGCTGCCCTTAGTAACTTCTTAATAGTTTCCCACTAAAACGCTTTTGATTATTATAAATGAATGATTTATTATAGACTGCAATTATTTGCTATCATCAAGTATTGCATGCAGTGCATCTTGTATTTGACTGAAGCTATGTACTGTGACACAAGCTTTCTCCAAGTACACATATCTGTCTGACTTTTTTACAACACAAGGAAGGACTGCATTAGAAAGGAGATTCAGAGGTGGGGTGGGGGGGAGAGGGGAAGGAAGAAATGGTAAAAGGTGGTCTGGACTATTTTTAAAAAATTGATTAATTAAAAACTAACAAACAAATATAATTTGCCAGAGTGATGCTTCAAGGAGCAATTTACAAGTACAAAATTCAAAGTAATTGTTAAACTTTAATATTCATTGTCAGAACAGATTTTTTAAATTATTAATTCTTTTCTCTACAAACTTGCAAAATAGTTTTGTCTGATTTGAAGCAGCATATTTAGGAATAACTGTATTTTACCTTCTGTTTCAGTTACCTTCTGCTCCTGACTTAAGGATGAAGTGGGAATCACTCAACTTTTCCCACTATTACTGAGTTATTGTAATTAGTCATTGGCAGTTTCTTTGTCCTCATCCATTGGGATGGTGCCTCCCACTCCCTTGCTTTGGCCAATGGTTACTTAAGGCTCAGTGACTGTTTCTTGCTCTACGTGTGCAGTCAGTTAATATCCTGAAACGATCTTGATGATCTGTCAGCAGTTTGTGCAGCTATTCCTTCTGAGCTTTCACTCAACATAAAGCATGATCTCAGTATAGTGGCCTGTGGTGAGATTTTCGTTAAATTTTATTTCCAGTAATTTAGGATTAGGTTAGATTCTGTGAAAGATGATGTACAAATTAGACCAAAAAATCAGTTTCTAATTTTTGACAGGAAAAGACTACTTTACCACTGACAATTTTGTTTCATATTGTTTTCACTTGACTGTATCGTCCAATATCTGACACATCATGTTAGACCTTGAGATTTAGCTCATATTAGCTCCACTTTGAGAATTTGTCCAAAGCTCCCTGTATTTATTCTTAATCTCTAGGGTTGCACTAGGAAATTCATCATTCAGATGGCTCTGTTCCTGACCTATTATTATTATTATCTGTGTATCTTGTTTTACCATTTTGAAAACAGTTTTTGTCTAAATCTCCTAGTCACATCCTTCAGTGCTAAGATAGCCTGAGATTTTAGCTACAGATTTCAAGCATTGCTATGTGATTGCATAGCTGTTGAGATGAAGGGGGATTAGTATAGTTTAGCCTTGATTGTATAGGTCATTGGAAATCATGTATTGGTAGAGTAACAAGCTATAAGAATTCATCCTTTGGTCAAGTCACAATGCAGCTTATGTAGACAACAACTCAGCAGTATTTTTTCCCATTAGTAAACCACTGACCTTAGGCTCCCTCTATGGTACCACTCTTCTCAAGTGTGGTAATGTAATTCTGTTTGGTACACAGCACCTATGCATCCTGTGACTTTATCAAATGAATGCATAAGCATCTTTGACTTGGAATTCTTGGCCACTCAGTTTTCTAAAAGTATCAGTAGCTTTATCTGCAATGGCAAATAGACAGTGAATATCTGTACTTAAATAGTTGGACCAAAAAAACTGCATCTATTTCTGTAAATCCCTAAAGTGAACTGTGAAATAGTTGCTACTACTGTGTAATCCTCTTGTAATCACCTGTAGTGCTTGCTGAAGAAATGCAAATTTTCCAAACTTTATAAGCAAAATCAAAACCAGGCTGAGTACAGTTCAATAGTTGTGATGTAGAGACCTGAATTCTGGAGTCAATGCCATGTACTGATGCATGATTTCTCCCAAACTGCTGCATGAAATGTATCTGATTGCATCTCTGCAGGATGTTTTAACTACTGTATGTCAGTAAAACTTGTTGTTTGGAATGTATCAATAGCAACTGTAATTTTGTTCATTTGTCAGCAATAGTCAGGATTTAGGAACATTATCTCCTTTAGACTTGGATAACAAATCCATAGTGAGAGGGCATTTTTACCTATCTCAGAAGCTTGTTATATCTAGATTTATTACTGTCTGCAAAGAAATGTGAGATCTTGCAGGAGCACCCTCTAGAAATCTGAACTTTCTGAAAACATTTTGGCTATTTTTCCACTTTTGAATCAGTGCCCAAACTTTTCCCCCTCTTTTGAGATGCTGTTTTCATTGCTGCACCTGCCAGTCTCTTTGTTTTCCCTCAAAATAATGTGATAAACTAAGAAATCTTAAAGCTTTCAGTTGCTGAAGTATCTTCTTAGACACGAAACTTTGCAATGCCTGTTACTGCTTGGGTTAAGAAGGGGGGCATTGTTGCTTAGAGAGCTCCCATAAATACTGTGTTGAAGCATCTCATAAAGAAAAAATGCATACTGGGAAATAATCAACAGTGATTCATTGATTTCTCACTACACTCTGAACTGCCTGTTTTCAGCTTCTAAATGAATCAACATACAGTAAAGTCTCAATCATGAAGAATGGCTACTGGTATGCAGCAGCACATCTTGTGGTGAAGGCAAAGGATGGAAGTTGCACTGAGCTGTGTTCCGGTCACTCATTGAGCCATAGACTCTCCATGGTCTTAGGAAGGCCACCTTGCTTCTTTGGCTCATCAATTCGTTTGTCCACCTTTTCTAGCTAAGATTTCTGACCGTGTTATCAGGGACTGTCTTTAGTCTTGTGACCTTTTGTCCTGTCAGGCCCAACCAAATAGTCCACTGTAGATCCCTCTTATTGTGTTCATTGCTGCTGTCCTCTACAGGAGTTTCCAAGATCAGAATTAATACATCACATAGTTTAGTGTTGATGGGATGTATGTGGTCACCAGTCTCCTTCTTACTATTTACCTTTTTTAGCTATTTAAGTCTCTTGCATTCCACTTTCGAGGAAAAGGAAGTTGATCAAGTATCTTTATAATCTAAATTTTCTTCCTGCATTGAGGCTAAATACAGCCTCAAACTAATTAGTTCAGATGTTTGGGTAGCTTATGCCTAACCCTTTCATTGAGAACATCCCATTAAGAAATCAATTTCATATGCATGAAAGTCATATGCAAAATACTGTTGTGCATCACTAGGTATATGTTGGTAGCAGTCCAATTGGACAGGACTGGGGTGAAATGGATCAGCATTGTGGCACTGCTTCAGGTTAGAGTTGTGGGTGAGCTCTAGCTACGCCATGTGACTTTTGTAGTATCTGCTGTAAATAAACAAGAAGAGTAGATTTGTAGGTGGTATTAGACATCAGTTTTCCTGTAACTGGAATCCTGGAAATGTTTACAACAGTGATGCAAACACTTATGTTGAAGAATAGCCAGCTTAGCTGGAGAGTCTTCTCATCTGCAGTACATGCAGCAGATATTTCCCAGCTGGATCATGGTTAGGAAAAAATTGTGACATGAAAATAGGGTAGTGTGTTCACTTTCACTGTTATGTTGGTTGCAATATAGAGGAGCAGGAAGGAAAAGCAAATTGCTTGCTGGAGTTATCAGGCTGATTAATTCCTTGGCTTGACAAATTTAGCTAAAGTATTTTCACTGGGTTTGAAAAGCTACAGTGTGCGGAGAATAAGTGAAAGGTCCTTGCAAAGAAGTAAACAAACAAAAAGCCACAGCTGATCAGTTCTTGGTCACATTTCAAACAATCGAAAACACAGAATATAGGTTTGTATCAGACCTGGGCGGTGCCTGGGTCTACCTGGTGATATCTCTGAAACAAACAGAAGAATCAAGGCCAACAGTGATCAGCAGGAAGACTACAGCTTTTGAAGAAATAAAGTACGCTGTGCACTGTGTGCAGAGAGCACCGTTTGCCTTTTGGAAGACAAATGCATTGAGGGATTACTTTCACCCATATACCACTTCAGTACCACTAATTTTGCTGTTAAGTTGCTTGGAGAAGACCTTTTAAGTGTGTGGATAGGCTTTATGATGGAATCCTAGATATTTCCAAGCTCAGGTACATAATTATTTACCAAGGTTGGCAGTAGTATGTAGCTTTGTGTAGACACAGAAGAGCTGGTGATCAAAACCTAGATGCTGTGGTTTCTTGTGAGCATTTTCCAAGATGTTTTATTTATGTGCGCACTTTTCAATGTACTCAGTATTTTTCTTGGGAAAGAACAGGAAAAAAAATCCCTGTTATGACTGTCAGTTGTCTACAAAAAGACATAACTAATTAGTTGACCACTCAGCCCTGGAACGTGATGCAGTTCCCTTGAGCTTGCAGTTCAGTATTGTGCTCAAGCGTTTCATTCTGTGCACTCACATTTCTTCCTGTCTGTTGCAGCAAAGGTGCAACCTTATTAAAAATACACTTGATGCTGCTGGATACCTCAGTGGGATTTTGTGTAGACGCACGAGTCAAAGCTTTCACTTCAAGTGCTGGGAGGCAGGTCTACCTCTTCATAAAATTTAAAGCTGGCGGAGACTGTGAAAATGTTTATCCCAGCCAAAACTAGTACATAAGGCACAGATTTTGTGACCTTTCTAATATCTTTGGCTAAGAAGTTCTTGATCTCAAAAAAAAAAAAACCTCCAGCAGACGTAGGCTATCAACCTTTTCCTTTGTAGTTGGTTCCAGCTGTTAGTCATCCTTTTCATTCAAAGGGGCCTCCGCCACTATTTACCCATGTGTTTAGTTACCATTTATTTTGCTTTTCCACAAGTAAGGAGGGTAAGTATTTTTGTTTTGTTTTGTTTCGCTGGGTTTTTTTGTTTGTTTGATTGCTTTTAATTACACAGTTGTTGCTTTTTCTATGGAAAGAATAATAGAATTGATTTATATTTATGCAATTTTTAAACTGGTTTTCTCCCTCCAGAAATTCCATTTTGTCAGCTGAAAAAGCAGAGTGATATTTTTGAACAATTAACAAGCTATAAAATGTTGGCTTGTGTTGCACTATTGAAATTTAGACTCTTCTCACTGTCCTTCCCTGATTTTGGTAAAAGAGATATATTTTAGTCAGGATAGAAAACTATGCTCTAAAGCTTCTTTTAGGAAGATGTTCTCAAGTTGCACTTAAACTTTTTCAATCATTTTTATTCTTAATGATATAATCTTTAGTTCTGCACAATATTTCATGTATATGAAGAAAGAAATGTAGCAAAGCCTGCCTGGAAACATTCCAACAGAGAACTGCTATAAGATGTCTGTCCTGAGGCTCTAGTACGAATTACTGCTGCACATCCTAGAAGCCCTAATGGCAAGATGATTTTTAAGGAAGGCCCTAGTGGGACACTCATCCAGATTTCCTAAACTGTCTGCTAAACCAGGATTTTGGCCAGCCCTTCTAACTATTGGCTCTTAACAAATTACTTGAGGTAGTTTGTTGATTTGGTTATTTAACTGGTTGGGGCAGGAATACTGGAAAATGTAATGCAAGGGGAAAAATGACAGCACAGCTGTGCAAACAACACTAAGATGTTCCTCATGCTCCGTCCTCATTGATTAGTATCCCCTCCTCTACATACTTAGGGAACGTAGTAAGTTGTATTAAGTGTATGTTGTAAGTTGTATTTAATTCTGTGTGATGTGCAGAAACATATATAGTTCTGATGTGGCTTATTAAGAGCATAATTTATTAATGATAATTGAAGAGCACAATGAAACTTGCTCTGTTACAGCCTTCAGGGCATCATCAGCAGTTTGAGGGTCCAAGAAGATTCTAAACTATGATCAGCATGACACATGCGAGTAGGTGTATCTTAAACAGAAGAACTGCCATAGGGTATTTTTAGTGTGGCTATCAGATGTCTTAGGATGGAAAATTGCAGAGCTCTATTTCAAAAGATCCTATAAAGCCAGAGAGGATGATCTCAAAATATAAGCAGTATTAAGATTGTAACAAGCATGAATACATTGTCAGAAAGATGAAGGGCAATTCTTCACAGTCACACAGGAGAGGGAAAGTGGAAAGGGAAGATGCTTTCCCCAAACTATGGTAACTCATACGTTCTTTAGTTTTGTTTCAGGGTTTGTTCATTTCTTTTCCTTATGGTTCTTCGGGCTCAGTCCTACTACCTTCCTTCCTACTACCTTACACCTGCATCATGTAATTCCCTCCACATTTAAAGCCTTTTCTGTACTGACTGAGTTGATACATTGGTGTAGCATAGAGTTCAAAGACAGCAGCAGTATATTTTTATAATTATTTATACAGTTAATCAAGATCAATCAAGATATCCTCGTGCAGGATTGTCTTCACTAATTGTGCAAATAAATGGATGCCATTTTATTCTTATTGTCTTAAATGCACATTTTGATCAGTAAAAGAGGTTACTACTACTACTAATGTGTGGCTAAGGAAAAAAAAAGTCAGTAGAAGGTGCATGAAATAATTGAAACACTTAGTTGAAAAATAGTGTTCATATACAATATACAAATGCACAGACACGTTGTGTAACTACACTGCATTACATGCTACTGAAGAAGTGTATGCTGAAGATTGTAATGGGAGAACTAACTATGCTTCAGAGCATGACATGTGGCTCCATGTTCTTAATTTTAGTAGTATCTAATCTCTCTGTGGCAGTAATGCCCCAGCTCGGTTTCCACAGTCAGGTGTAACTTCTTGTTAATGTGTGGCCTGACTACATGAGAGTAGGAAATAAACTAAAGAGGTTTACTTGAAATTCTTCCCCAAACTCACATAAAAGCACATGTGAGGATTTTTGCTTAGAATTAAGAAAAATGTCAGGCTATTTGGGGATAGAAATTAAGTACTACTGTGTAATTGGCTGTGTTATCTAGAATATGTTGGAATTGGTTTTCTGAAGTTTTTCTTCCAGTCTTGGATATGGAGAAAAAATACTGTTCTTTCTTATTTGAAGACACGGTCTTAATAACTGAGAGACTGCTTCACTGTAGTTCTGCATAGAAGTTTAATTGCTCAGCTGCATTTCCTACAGTTTGCAGGCAGCAGTGCGTAAGGTCACAGGCAGGTTAGGCTGTGGAGCATCTGAACTCCAGTTCATTATGTTATTATTATATTAGTCATAGTTAAGAGAGGTGACAGGAATGTAACTCTTTTCTCCTAGCTGAGTTCTCTCTGAAAATTGTACATTTTGAAAGACGGTAACGTGACCTCCATTTCCTGTCCAAAATCTTTTACTGTGCTTCCTTGCTGATATCTCTGGCTCTTTCCTGTTTCTCAGTACTGTGCACAGCAACTGTATTTGTAAGTTTGCTGTTCCCTACCCTGAAGACTTTCTTGATTAAATGTTAGCACTTTTTTGTTGCCTAATTTTCTTCCCTCTCCTTTGGCAGCTTTCCTCAGCTCTTGGCAGTTTCAGTTCTTTGTCTAGGCTGTGCAGTAAGAGATATTCTCATTCTGGGTACATTTCTCAGAAAGAACAACTTTTGTTGCCTCTCACAGAAGCCTCATAGAAATGTGCACAATGTTTCCTT